TTTTTCATGGTAAGGGAGAACCAACATATTTTTATTTGAATAAGGCTGGTTGTCCCTTTTTGGATTGTAAAAAGTATTTCTGGCAACTTTAAAAGATTTATCAATTACATTTCTTGGGTATTTTAAATCATTACCTATTTCATAAATTTTGGATATTTCCTCATCTATGAACTCAGGACTACAAATTCGTAAAGCTCTCAGAAACATTGATGAGAAAACAGACAGTTTGACTCTATCTTGATGCGAGGAATAATAGTGGACATAGGAACAGTTATTAGTAGGTTTTCTGTAAATTTTAAATTTGAATTCATTATTACCCTTAATAATTAAAACATCTAGAAAATAGGTAATGATTTAAAATACCCAAGAAATGTAATTGATAAATCTTTTAAAGTTGCCAGAAATACTTTTTACAATCCAAAAAGGGACAACCAGCCTTATTCAAATAAAAATATGTTGGTTCTCCCTTACCATGAAAACTTGGTTGATATGCCTTCTCTTCTTAAGACTTTTAATATTAAAGTTGTATTCAAAAATCTCGATACAGTAAAAAAACTTTTGATAAAGAATTCCCCCCAAAATGCTGATGGATGTGTCTATAAGATTCCTTGTAAAATTTGCGATAAAGTTTATTACGGTCAAACTGGTAAAAATCTCGAACTAAGATTAAAACAACATAAATATAGCATTAGAACTGGACAAGATTCCAATGCTCTATTTATTCATGTAAGAGATTTTAACCATCCAATTGATTTTCAAAAAGTTGAGAAAGTAGTATCAAGCAAGTCCATGGTCGACAGGAATATAATTGAATCTTGTTTCATAAAAAGCAGTTTTGACAATAATATGAATATTTCCTTTGGTTTATATAAATTAGATCCATTTATAATTAATAGAATTTGGAAGAATTTAATAATACACTGGACAAATAATCTTTAAAATTTCTTATTTCTTGGGTAGAATATTTTGTGGGGTGAGTTGTGCCAAGGACCTTTCCAAGTTGGGCGCGCCGCGCGTCACGTGTTTAAACCGTTGTGGGATCTGATAGTGAGGTGCCGACCAGACCCCTTATATAGCTTCCTTGGATGCTTTACTTTCATAGTTCCTTGATAATGTGAGTAGTCACGAAAGCGCTTGGAATTTCTCTATTCTTTCAGAGTGGTTGTTTTGCATATTCTGAAATCACCTGTTTACTGTGATCTTATTGCATATATATATATATATATATATATATATATTTTAATATATATATATATATATATTTATATATATATATAATATATATATATATATATTTAACAAGTCGGTCGTCTCCCACCGAGGCAGGGTGACCCAAAAAAGAAAATCCCCGAAAAGAAAATACTTTCATCATCATTCAACACTTTCACCTCACTCACACATAATCACTGTTTTTGCAGAGGTGCTCAGAACACAATAGTTTAGAAGCATATACGTATAGATACACAACATATCCTTCCAAACTGCCAATATCCCAACCCCCTCCTTTAGAGTGCAGGCATTGTATTTCCCATTTCCAGGACTCTAGTAGGGCTATATAAAAATAACCGGTTTCCCTGAATCCCTTCACTAAATATTACCCTGCTCACACTCCAACAGCTCGTCATGTCCCAAATACCATTCGTCTCCATTCACTCCTATCTAACATGCTCATGCATGCTTGCTGGAAGTCCAAGCCTCTCGCCCACAAAACCTCCTTTACCCCCTCCCTCCAACCTTATCGAGGACGACCCCTACCCCGCCTTCCTTCCCCTACAGATTTATACGCTCTCTGTCATTCTGCTTTGATCCATTCTCTCTAAATGACCAAACCACCTCAACCCCTCTTCAGCCCTCTGACTAATACTTTTATTAACTCCACACTTTCCCCTAATTTCCACACTCCGAATTTTCTGCATAATATTCACACCACACATTGCCCTTAGACAGGACATCTCCACTGCCTCCAACCGTCTCCTCGCTGCAGCATTTACAACCCAAGCTTCATACCCATATAAGAGTGTTGGTACTACTATACTTTGATACATTCCCTTCTTTGCCTCCATAGATAACATTTTTTGTCTCCACATATACCTCAATGCACAACACACCTTCTTTCCTTAATCAATTCTGTGATTAACCTCATCCTTCATAAATCCATCCGCTGACACGCCAATGCCAAATATCTGAAAACATTCACTTCTTCCATACTCCTCCCCAATTTGATAGCCAATTTTTCTTTATCTAAATCATTTGATACCCTCATCACCTTACTCTTTTCTATGTTCACTTTCAACTTTCTACCTTTACACACACTCTCAAACTCGTCTACTAACCTTTGTAATTTTTCTTTAGAATCTCCCATAAGCACAGTATCATCAGCAAAAAGTAACTGTGTAAATTCCCATTTTGTATTTGATTCCCCATAATTTAATCCCACCCCCTCTCCCGAACACCCTAGCATTTACGTAATGCCTCACGCACCTCCCCCACACTCACATCCTGCTCTTCTTCACTCCTAAAAGATGGTATACCTCCCTGGCCAGTGCATGAAATTACCGCCTCAATTTCTTCGTCAACATTTAAAAGTTCCTCAAAATATTCTCGCCATCTACCCAAAACCTCAATCTCCCCATCTACTAACTCCCCTACTGTTTTAACTGACATATCCATTCGTTCTCTAGACTTTCTTAACTTGTTTAACTCGCTCCAAATTTTTTTTCTTATTATCATTAAAATTTCTTGACAGTGCCTCTCCCGCTCTATCATCTGCTCTCCTTTTGCACTCTCTCACCACTCTCTTCACCTTTCTTTTACTCTCTATATACTCTACTCTTCGTACAACACTTCTGCTTTGTAAAAACCCCTAATAAGCTAACTTTTCTCTTTTATCACACCCTTTACTTCATCATTCCACCAATCACTCCTCTTTCCTCCTGCTCCCACCCTCCTATAACCACAAACTTCTGCCCCACATTCTAATACTGCATTTTTAAAACTATTCCAACCCTCTTCAACCCCCCCCCACTACTCATACTTGCACCAGCCCACCTTTCTGCAAACAGTTGCTTATATTTCACCCGAACTTCCTCTTCCCTTAGTTTTATACACTTTCACCTCCCCTTTATTTTGTTGTTATAATTTTCCTCTTGTCCCATCTACCTCTTACTCTTATATATATATATATATATATATATATATATATATATATATATATATATATATATATATATATATATATATAAAAATATATATATTATATATATTATATACATGAATTTAAAGATAGCAAAATGTTAGGCACATTGTGGAACATTGTGGAAGGAATAAGAGAGGGTGGGACGGAAAGATAAGGAAGAGGCAAGGAGGAGGAGGGAGGTGAGGCAAGGAGGAAGAGGAGGAGGAGGAGGAGGGAGGTGAGGCAAGGAGGAAGAGGAGGAGGAGGAGGAGGAGGGAGGAGAGGAAATAGGAAGTGTCTTGTCTTCAGGGTAACCTGACAGAGGCGCCACTGTTAACTATCTTCCCTCTTCTTCTTCTCTCTCTCTTCTTTTTTTCTTCTTTTTCTGTTTCTCTTTTTCTTTCTCTTCCTCTTCCTCCTCCTCCTCCTCCTCTTCTTCTTCTTTTTTTCTTCTTCTTCTTCCTCTTTTTCTTCTTCTTCTTCTTCTTCTATTTCTTCTTCTTCTTCTTCTTCTTCTTCTTCTTCTTCTTCTTCTTCTTCTTCTTCTTCTTCTTCTTCTTCTTCTTCTTCTTCTTCTTTTTACTTCTCCTGCTACGCCTCCTCTTCCTCCTCCTCCTTTAAGAAGGTAGACCAGGATAACTGAATGTGATGTATGTAATGATAAAGAAGAGAGAACCATAAATGACTTATTTAAGAGAACAAGAAACCACAATTGACGTATTTAAGAGAACAAGGAACCACAAGTGACGTATTTAAGAGAACAAGGAACCACAAGTGACGTATTTAAGAGAACAAGAAACCACAAGTGACGTATTTAAGAGAACAAGAAACCACAAGTGACGTATTTAAGAGAACAAGAAACCACAAGTGACGTATTTAAGAGAACAAGGAACCACAAGTGACGTATTTAAGAGAACAAGGAACCACAAGTGACTTAGTTAAGAGAACAAGGAACCACAAGTGACTTATTTAAGAGAACAAGGAACCACAAGTGACGTATTTAAGAGAACATGGAACGACAAATGACTTATTTAAGAGAACAAGGAACGACAAATGACTAATTTAAGAGAACAAGGAACGACAAATGACTTATGTAAGAGAACAAGGAACCACAAGTGACTTATTTAAGAGAACAAGGAACCAATAGAGACTAATCTAAGTGAACAAGGAACCACAAGTGACTTATTTAAGAGAACAAGATACCACAAGTAACTAATCTGAGTGAACAAGGAACCACAAGTGACTTTTCTAAGTGAACAGTAGAGTCGGTAAGAGTAAATATAAGTATATAAGAGTCTATATCTATCAAATTAATACATCTGGAAGGTAGATGTGTCACTCAAACTGTGTTACAAGTGTCAGTCGACCTGCTACAAGTGTGGGTCGACTTGCTACGAGTTTGAGTCGACCTGCTACAAGTGTGGGTCGACCTGCTACAAGTGTGGGTCGACCTGCTACAAGTGTGGGTCGACTTGCTACGAGTTTGAGTCGACCTGCTACAAGTGTGGGTCGACCTGCTACAAGTGTGGGTCGACCTGCTACGAGTGTGGGTCGATCTGCTACAAGTGTGGGTCAACTTGCTACGAGTTTGAGTCGAGCTGCTACAAGTGTGGGTCGACCTGCTACAAGTGTGGGTCGACTTGCTACAAGTGTGGGTCGACCTGCTACAAGTGTGAGTCGACTTACTACAGGTGTGAGTCAACCGGTTACTTTTACAACAGAATAATAACACTGCCCTTGTTTTACAAGACAATGAAACACTTTGTTTTACAACAAGACAAGAGGACACTGTCTATTTGTTATAACATGAAATGAGATCACTGACCTTGTTCGACCTGAGGGAGACCTTGCCGCCGCAGCGGGCGCAGCAGCGCACGTTACAATAGTTGCACATGTGGCCCACTCCGTCAGCGAACTTGGTCTTCAGACAGATTTGGCAGGTAGCCTCGAGCTCCAAGCCTTTCTTCCTCTGTACTTCGGAGCGGAGGCGTATGGTGTCCTCTAGGACCCGCACCTCGTCTTGCTTCCTTCTGTGGGAAGAACAAGGAATTAGCACCCAGCAGTAGCAGGAACAGTGGCAACAGAAGGAAGTCTGCAGTTAGACAGTCTTAATATCACTGTGGTTTATCAGAAATACCAAAGGTTTTAAACATATTAGAAAAATGTTTTTATTAATCAGTCACCAAACTTTTCACGAGTGAGGGACTCATTACCTCACCGTCTACAGTCTATACCTCATAAGCTCTCTATTGAACTGAAAAAAAAAACAAGTTTCCTTAAACATCTTCGTAATCAAGATACCACAAATGCTTTAATTTATATAAATAGTATAAATGTGATATGGGCTTAAATCCAGGGTGGTTTAAGACGGACGACAGAGGTTCAAGACACAGGGGAACAGCGTTTAAAAAGCTAGACAGCTGGCATCTGTACACCTCCACGAAGGCGGTTTAAATTCTTGGTTTGTTTGCAAAATTTCTTACGGGTTATCAGTGGTATAAACCACTGATCGTAGTGGTAAAACTAAACTTTTGAAGGGTGTGAAACATATGTCATATGGGCACGAACTTGTTAACAAAATTTCTCACATTCGCATAAGGTTAATTTTTTTTCACAATTGAGGTTTTGAATGCCTAAAATCAGAAATAATATATATATTTAAACCAGTTATTAACGTGTATTTGGAGCAAGTGTTAGAAAGAACGTTCACGTTCTCAAGGTTAGAACGTTGCACCATACAAGGATTACCTGTCATTCTCCAGGCGCTGTACTGCCCTGATGGGTTTAGCGCTTCTCCATGAATGTAAAAACCTTAGTAAATTCTTCTCAGAAAATTGCATTACTTTAAAGATTATTATTATTATTATTATTATTATTATTATTATTATTATTATTATTATTATTATTATTATTATTTAGTTATTATTATTATTATTATTATTATTATTATTATTATTATTATTATTATTATTATTTAATTATTATTATTATTATTATTATTATATTATTATTATTATTATTATTATTATTTATTATTATTATTATTATTATTATTATTGTTGTTAGAGAGAGAGAGACAGAGGAAAATTATTACACAAATACATACATAGATAAACACACACACACATACATGTAAACACGATACCAAAGCAACAATGGGTGTTGACACTGGCTTCACCTGCCTCACAAAACCTCATTAACTGTGCCTTATGACCTCTGTCACTTTCTCTTTTGTTGTTAGTTGTGTCAAAAACAATCCTGTACCATTGTTTGCTCTGATATGACTTTTGTTGTATAAGAGTGTATTTGTGTGTGTGTGTGTGTGTGTGTGTGTGTGTGAGAGAGAGAGAGAGAGAGAGAGAGAGAGAGAGAGAGAGAGGAGAGAGAGAGAGAGAGAGAGAGAGAGAGAGAGAGAGAGAGAGAGAGAGAGAGTGAGAGTGAGAGTGTTTCAATGAATCTGTTTTACTCACAAAATCATTTGGATGAAGGAATGACTGTGAGGTTGAGAGTGACTGGGAGGTTGAGAGTGACTGGGAGGTTGAGAGTGACTGGGAGGTTGAGAGTGACTGGGAGGTTGAGAGTGACTGGGAGGTTGAGAGTGACTGGGAGGTTGAGAGTGACTGGGAGGTGGGTTAGATAGAAAGGCTGGAACCAAGGTGGGTTGGATAGGAGGATTGGGACCAAGGTGGGTTGGAGAGAAGGGGTTGGGACCAAGGTGGGTTGGATAGGAGGGTTCGGACCAAGGTGGGATGGATGGGAGGGTTGGAACCAAGGTAGGCTGGATAGGAGGGGATGGGACCAAGGTTGGTTGGATAGGAGGGTTGTAACCAAGGTGGGTTGGGTAGGAGGGTTGGAAGCAAGGTTACTTGGATAGGAGGGGATGGGACCAAGGTTGGTTGGATAGGAGGGGTTGGGACCAAGTTGGGTTGGATAGGAAGGTTGGAACTAAGGTGGGTTGGATAGGAGGGGTTGGAACCAAGGTGGGTTGGATAGGAGGGTTGTAGAAAAGGTGGCTTGGAGAGGAGGGGTTGGGACCAAGGCGGATTGGATAGGAGGGTTGGAACCAAGGTGGGTTGGATAGGAGGGTTGGAACCAAGGTGGGTTGGATAGGAGGGTTGGAACCAAGCTGGGTTGGATAGGAGGGTTGGAACCAAGGTGGGTTGGATAGGAGGGTTGGAACCAAGGTGGGTTGGATAGGAGGGTTGGAACCAAGGTGGGTTGGATAGGAGGGTTGGAACCAAGCTGGGTTGGATAGGAGGGTTGGAACCAAGGTGGGTTGGATAGGAGGGTTGGAACCAAGGTGGGTTGGATAGGATGGTTGGAACTAAGGTGGGTTGGATAGGAGGGTTGGAACCAAGGTGGGTTGGATAGGAGGGTTGGAACCAAGGTGGGTTGGATAGGAGGGTTGGAACCAAAGTGGGTTGGATAGGATGGTTGGAACCAAGATAGGTTGGATAGGATGGTTGGAACCAAGATAGGTTGGATAGGATGGTTGGAACCAAGATAGGTTGGATAGGATGGTTGGAACCAAGGTGGGTTGGATAAAAACGTTGGAAACAAGGTGGGTCGGATAGGAGGGTTGGAAGCAAGATTTGTTGGATAGAAGGGGATGGGACCAAGGTTGGTTAGATAGGAGGTTATATCTACTTTTGATATTACTGCAGCTGTTACTGTTACTGCTGTTGCCTTTACTGTTGCTCTTATTGCAACTTTTTCTAACGCCACTGTTGTCGATGTTGACATTACTGCTTATATTTCATTCACGCTACCCTTGAAGGAACTGTTGTTCCTGTTGTTGGTGTCGTCATTGTTGACGTTCCTGTTGATGTGTTATTGTTGAACCTGCCGTTGTTAACACTGTTCTTGTTGACGTCACTGTTTTTGCTCATGCTACTGTTGATACAATTCATCTTCATTATTATTATTATTATAATTATTATTATTATTATTATTATTATTATTATTATTATTATTATTATTATTATTATTATTATCATTATTGTTGTTATTATTATTATTATATTTTATTATTATCATTATATTATTATTATTATTATTATTATTATTATTATTATTGTCTGATATAGCCGTTAGGTCATAGGATATCTAACTATACTCTCTTGTCTAGCTTGCAGTCATTAGATAACATATGTTATACATTTGCCTGGACACTTTGAACATCTTAATTTTAAGTAATTAAGGCAGCTGTACATAGAATTTTAGTCACGGATTAAATCCGACGGAAATCCTGAGTGGGGTAAGGAAGGTTAGATTTTTTCATCGAAATCCGGGTAAATTATATTGCTTTTAAGATAAGATAAGAATAAGATAAGATTTCGTTCGGATTTTTAACCCCGGAGGGTTAGCCACCCAGGATAACCCAAGAAAGTCAGTGCGTCATCGAGGACTATCTAACTTATTTCCATTGGGGTCCTTAAACTTGCCCCCAGGATCGACCCTCACCAGTGATATAAAACCGGCCTTTTGCTGCTAGGGGAACAGGACAACAGGTTAGGAAACGTGTTAAGTTTCACCCCGGGATTCGAACCGGCTCGTGTTTGAAGCGGGAGCTTTAGCCACAGGCAGGGGGACAAGCGTAGGATCTTCTCTCCATCGGAATTTGTCGGTCCCTTGGTGGGTTTAATGTTCTCTTCAAAGTTTTACATAGGAAGTTGTAGAAGGGTTCCCCTTGGGGTGGCAGCTTTTGAGAGCGAAAGGGGTGTTTGGGAAAGTACCTTCTGGGAAACCCTTTAGATAAGCGGTTTGAGGGGGACGGTGTTTGGCCCAGTGATAAAGGTTAAAAAGGGCACTTTGGGAAGTTAACCGGGTTTTCAGATTCGGAAGCGAAAAAGGGGAGGGTTGGGTAGTGCCCCGCCGAGTCGATTTGTCTCATCTTGGGGAAAGATTTCTAAGTTCCAGGAGAGTCACGTTCCAAAAAGGGGCTGTATTCCTGTACTCACCTAGTTGTGGCCTTGGCCCCACTTTTCACTGGACTTTTTTCTAGCTCACTCATTTTGCCAATGAGCTTTATCATACTCTTTTTAAAAGCTATGTTTGGAAATCCTTGCCCACTACATACTTCCCAGACTATTCCATTCTGACTCTCTGTGACGAAAAAATAACTCCTAACATCCTGTTGATTCATTGAGTTTTTAATTTCCCAAATTTTACCCCTTGTGCTGGTTCAACTCTGGAACATTCTGTCCTTCCCTTGTCAATTTCTCTCAGTATTTTGCATTCTTATCATATCCTCCCTATCTCTTCGTCCCCAGTGTTGTCAGGTCGAATTTCCTTAACCTCTTCTCGTTAGGACAGCCCTTTACTTCGGGAAGTTTGTGCAAATCATTGCACTTTCTCTAATTTTTTTTCACGCTTGGCTGAGTTGCTTTAATGTTGCTACATACGTGCTATATATGACCTTGACATACACGTGTACAGGGTCTGAACGAATTCCTTATTGAGATGTCGGAATGCTATTCTGAGGTTTGCTAGGCGCCCATATGCTGCAGCAGTTATTGGTTAATGTGCACCTCAGGAGATATTCCGTTGTACATACCACCAAAATCATTTTCTTTGAGTGATGTTTGTAGTCTTGCCCCTAGACTGTACTATCGTTTGCGAGTCTTCTTGTCATTCCCAATCTTCATGACTTTGCACTTGTGGGCTGAATCTAGTGCCAGTTTCGGACAGGCTGCAGCTGTTCCAGTATCCTTTATATTTCCGCCTGGTTCCTACTTGATTGAATTCATTCTCATCAACTTAACATCATCTGCAACAGGGACACTTCAGATCATATTGCTTCCCGTAATGTCGTTCACATACACCAGAAACAGCACGGTCAAGGACTTGACCCCTTGATACCCCGTTCGTCATGGCCCACTCTGAACCTCGTTCACGTCATGACTCGCTGATGTCTTCCTGACAGGTATTCTGATCATTGCAGTGCCTTTCCTTGTTTATACCGTCTGGTCTCACAGATATTGACTGATCTCATGGGGTCTGACTTCTGACGACGGATTAGTCGTCTGCT